TAAATTTATTATATGACCTTTATTATCTTACTCTCTAACCTCAGTAATCTATCCCGTTCAAATAATTTATTAATTTTTACTTTCACTCTATGTTTATGCCATTATCTCTGAATGAAATGCTTTCCCCTCAATACGACACCTAATCAGAGGGCCCCTGACCCTCTGAATAAACTGTTTAAAACTCATTCCATACCCTCTAAGAAATCAACAAATAACTCTTTAATGACTTACTTCAATTTTTTACCAGATATCCCTTAATACTCAACTGTGTTGACCTTTATTTGTTATATCTTTCTATTAATATATGGATCCTCCACTCTACTTTGTGGGTATGTTTTCCCAACTACAGCAGTTTACAGGACAGGAACCATTTCTAGTATTTACCTTTTATTCCTCCATTATACCCAGGTAAAACTCCATTTTATCAGGCACCGTATGGATGAACAGTATGATTCATAACAGATGAATACATATAAACATATTTAAAAAGCATATATTTATGTTGTTTTTCTCTAAATACACAAAATATCTTTAGTAAAGGTGTAAAAATAAAACAACATCAACAAAAAAAAACAAAGAATAGAACCAAAGAGCTATATGAATTAAAAAGCATGTAGTTTCTAAATAAAGACTAATACATAGTCATTAAACAGAAGTAAGAATGTTATTAAACGAATTTGTCTTACATTCAAACATAAGTGCCTTTTTCTATGTTCACAGACATAATTCAAGACTAACACAATTAAAAACCTTTCTGTTTATTCCACAGTAAAGCAAGCTACAGCCTACTCTACCTTTCTTTAGGCAGTGTCTTTTACAAAATGTTTTCTAGAATAACTGTATGAGCAAAAGAGCCTAGGTTATTATAGCCATTAAGATATTTTTAGTACATAAAAACAACTAAACATTTTCAATGGCTTTACATGACAAATGTTTTCTAGTTTGGTATAAGTATTTATAATTTATACCATATGAGGTATATACATTTTATCTTGTGTCCTGCTCACCAATGACATTTACATGTACTTGGTTCAGTAATAAAGCCGTACCCAGGAAAGACTGCACAAATAAGATATGCATTCTATATACTAAAGTTAACCAAAAGGGAGCATTTATTTTCTGCTTTAACTTACTTTAAGGCAAAAACAGAGTATTTCCTAAAGTATGCATTTTAGAAGATGCTTCACATAATAAAAAAAAAAAAGAGCACCATAAGTACATCAATTAGAGAAATATTGCATATTGTATCTGTCTTCTTGGTGATTTCAATCTTTTAAAGGTGCTGCTGCAAAAAAGAAGCCTTTTTTAAAGTTTATTAAAATTTATGTCATCTAACATTTCCCAAACAACCAACATATTTGTTAAGTACTATCTGTTAACATCACTCAGTTAAACACTTATGCAGATGATTCTCTTCTTCATTTTAATCAGACTACCAAGAACTTTTGTCAACACAGTATTTCTCTGTATATTTTACCACAGAAACAATCTCAAAATGATCTATCAGGCAAGTAAACACACTACCTTAAGAAGATAAGGATTACCAAAATAAAGTTACACACTAATTCTTCTTTTATAAAAAGTATCTAAAATCAGATACAGTCTTACAGCAACACAGCCTTGCCAAAAATGTAAGTTCTTGACCTATTAACTAACACTGAGGACTCTCTTTGACTCTTTCACAAAGAAACCAAAAAATAGATACTGAGCTCTCAAATTAAATGGGATCAATACAGTGGGATCAAGAGAGGAAAACTTCAGTTTTAGTGTGTTCTTTCTACAACATTTAAGCTAATAAAATTTAAAACATAATCCATTTTTCAAATACTTGGGGCACTGTATGCACATTAATTTTACTTACCAAGTCATAGATCTGGTTTGCCAACTGCACCTTCTCATCTGCATCTTCCAAAGCTTTATAGTAGTCCTGAATAAAAACATTTTCATTCCAAGAATAAATTAATGATTCTAAAATATGCATATGTAGAACATATAACACATTTCCATTATCATACCATTATCACTGTCAGTCATCCTACATTAACAATAAAAACCTTGTTAGAGATAGGGTGGAGATGGGAAAGGATTAGAAATTATGGACAATGGCCAGGAAATAAAGGAAGATGTCCAGAATTCCTGGAAAAGATATAAATAAAAACAAATACCATTCCAAATCTAGTTTCTGTACAAGAAAGAGCTACGTGACCTAATGAATAGTATATAAAACAAAAAAAAAGAACATTAATTAAAATTGGTCTAACTTGTAAAGTACATTTACACTCCATTTTTAAAACTTTTTAATAAAAGTACAGCTATTGAAAGGATTCTGATCTGCATATCCCTATTTTCC